CAGCAGGACTGTACTAAAAGGAAACTTCTTTACTAAATCCAGATGAGGTAGAATAATCAGGGTAAGCTTCTGTACAGTTAATCCTTGCAACTCCCCTTTAACAGAATGTTTCTCTTTCCACCACTTTAAACTGTGAACAATTAAACTAAGCCAACTACATCTACCACAGGTCTCTTCCAAGATCAATTACGAGAGTTTGTAAATGAGGTAGTGGAACCTGGGCAGGTAAGGTAAACACTCTGGAAATGTTTCCCTGGAATTCTGCCCCAAATAAAAAACTTTCAGAGATACAAACAGTGGAAGAGATGTGTCAAAATACTTAGCTAAGATGAGGCTGAAGGTGCCACTGCAGTACTGCCCTTCAGTTAGGAAGTAAACACAAAACTTTTAACTGAACCAACTCATAGCAGTATGGGGCTTATTCTATGTCATAATAATTAAGCTCTTGCTCTCAGGAGCAACATGGAGTATATTTCAACTGAAAAGGCCTTCTACATCTACAAAGCAGGGCTTCATCATGAACAGGTTATCAAGGAGCCAGAGGCAGGAAGAAATTAGATCAAACCACTTCGCTCTGCTAGACAGAAGGAACAGAAATCACGAACCAGCCTGATGCTTGGAAAAATTAATTCTGGCTATGACTTGCTTCAGCAGCACTAATATACAAAGGAAACAAGCTGAGGGAGAACAGCTATGGTGAAACAGAAAGTAAGGTAAAGAAACAATGAGAAGAGAAATATTATGCACACTAAGTCTTTAATGAAAGGCAACAAAACAGACAGGACTGGAAACACTGGGGATATACAAAGGAGTGAAATGAGATAGAAAAGACTGAAAAAAAGTTTCTGATGGTAACCATTCTTCTTGTCCATTACTCAAAACAACTGGAGTCAAGGGTTTGCACTGCTTGGAAAAGCAATAGCAGACATGTAAAACCAAGACCAACAGCTGAATGCTGAAGTTAACTAATTTCAGACAAGAAATAAATTGCACGTTTTTTGTTTTTTTAACAGTGAGGGTAGTTAACAATTGAAAAAATTACCAATGGTTCTAGTAAATTACCCATCACTGGAAATTTTAAAATCAAGATTAGATGGTTTTCTGATATGCTCCAATTCAAACAGGAATTACTTCAGGTAAATTCTGTATCTTATGTTACACAAATCAAAACAGATAAATATAATGGTCCCTTCTGGCCTTATAAATTATGAATTTATAAATGGGGAAAGTAGAAAGTAGCTACATGACTTGACTAAAATGGAGGAAAATGAGACAAGGGAAGGGGTGAGAAAAGCAAAGAGACCGGAGAGATATTTTAATGACTTCAAAAACTGAATCTGCTTTTCAAAGTAGTCAAAAAAGGATACTCTCACTTCCTAGATATGGAATTCAAAAACTTTAGCAGTTCCCCCTTAGCAACTCTTCCTTTTCTTCTCAGCTTCAAGCAACTGCACTTTTGCTGGACCCTATCTACAGTTTCCCTCTCTCCTGATTTACCCACACAAAGAAGTTAAGACCTGGGGTTTAACTCAAAGTAAACCCATCAGTAGGCTCACACAAGCCAGGGCATTTGAAAAATAAAGTTAGGTAGGGAGCCTACATATGTATTATCATTACCACTGAATTACTTATTGGCTACTTTGCAGAAAGAACCATGGCTCTAGCCCAAATGAGCCTATAGCAGTAATCTATTAATCTCAACCAGGAAGAGTTCACTGTTGAAGTTTCAAGCAACGCTGATAGGAGACTGCTTTGAAAAGCACTACTGGAGTTAATAAGGAACGGAGATATTCATCCTCCATTTTGAAGTACATTCCAACACATTACAAAAATGGAATTTGCCCAATAAAACCATTTGAAACAACGCAAAGTGAAGAGAACCAGAGATAAAAAGTTGTTTTAAATGTTTACGTCAATTTTAAGCAGTTAATCATTCAGTTAGATCACTAACTTCAACCATATAAGCTTGCCTGCACTGCATATCGCAGTGAGAGGATGTCATACCTCAGAGTAGTCATCTTAACAGAGAAAGGACAAAGATCTATGCAAATTCATCTTAAAAATATTCCACTTTTTAAGCATGTTCTTATAATTTAAAGAAAAGGGTGCATATGATTCATTGAGGCCTAGACTGTTACCAGACCTAGATTTTTATAAGGCATGGCTTTACTTTGCAGTTCTGCAGCCCAAGCTATTCAGGAGGAATACAGCAATAAAAATAACTGCTCTCTGGATATCACAACAAAATACATACAAAATACTTCTGAGCGCTCGTGTTTTACCCAAAGGCATTTAGTTCTGTAAATATTCTCCGCCCCCCCCCTCTAAAAAAGGGAGCACATGTTTCTCATGATTGCAGTTAAGTGTAAGATGATAAAATGAGGCACTGTTTACAATTTGCTTTGTGCATTGACCCATCGTCCCTACCAACTGGCTATATTCAAGAGACTACATTCTCAAATACCCTTTCAAAGCATTTAACAAGGCAACTGTGAACGTTAAGAGTCAATAGTTTTGAATACCAGGTACTTAACACACATAACATTTCACTCTGTTTACCTTACAATGCCCTAACTATTAGCAATTGTATGCTTATAGTTTATAGCAGAGCAGCCCAACCCTGAACTTAAAGAGTTAACTACCTGATTCGGTTTAGAGTGGTTCCTGGAAACCAGGATTAATGTTATTAGCAGAGTAGAACGTTGTCAGTATTATCAATGGCAAACTAGGTCAGCAAAAATTAATGCTCTGTGCATAGAGGTGGGCTATTTAAGAAAGTTTGTGTTTGTATTGTAGAAAAACAGATGACAACCTGTCCTTTTCTATTGAGCTGTTCTGACTTACTCATGGCAAGGGCTGAGCAAATGTGTGAGATGCAGGCATGGAATAAGGAGGAGGAAAAAAGTCTCAAGACTAATTCAAGTTATCCATTATTCCTCTAGTAACTTCCATACATAAACAAATAAAAGCAGAGCATAACTATATGGTCTGAGAAAGAAATGCACACAATTTGTTCCCCAAACTTGCCTGGATATGCAAAATCTACATTAGACACACCTTGGCCTAACTTTATGAAAATATAATATCATGAGTAAACTGTCAAGTGGTAAGTCAGTGAGTCACATTACAGGACTTACACTAATTACAGGATCAATGAGCTATAGACCAAATAGATGAAAGACATTTTCACCTTTGTTTGAGCAGTCTACAGTTGATGATTAACAGATCAACTACCAGGTGCTGAGAGTCCTACAGCTGGTAGTTACCAATGCAAGCATAAAAATTGTTGAAATAAAACAAGTGATCTTTCTACTGTGATGCATATCCACTAGCAATAGCTTCAGATAAAGGCATGAATCTTTATAATTTCATATATATCCTTATGCCCTGCTGCATCAGTGTAGAGCTGTGGTTCTTAACCTTTTTAAACTCAAGGCACCCCTTAGAAAAGATGCCTGCTCTTAATTTTCACTTGGTTTTTTGACTATGGAACAACAGTTCTCTGCAAATGAAGAAATGCTCTCAAAAAGACCACAACAGAACACTACAGATTCCTATTTGAAATCTCCGTGTTCATCTTATGAAACACGTTTGCACACTTAGTGCTAAAATTGTGTGGCAAGCAGCAGTAACAGGCAAACATTATTGTGCCACCCCTGAAAGGATCTCAGAGCACTTTAGAGTGATGCAACCCCTTGGTTGAGAATCACTGGTGAAGAGGGCAACTCGTACAATCTTGTTTGCCATATCCCTTGCCAACAGCAGTGTCTATTATAGGTTAATTATACATTGCATTTACTTATTGGCTTTATATTTCATTATTTTTAATTGTGTCCCTTGTTTTAAGGGGATTCTAATTTATTTCTATATTTTGCAGACAAACGTTTAACGTTCAGTACCTTAACACTAATTTCCTGTCTGAACTAAAATAGTCCCAGGCCAGAAGTTTTGAAACTTAGCAACCCAAAATTAGGCACCAGTTAGAAGTGGCCTGCTTTTCACCTGTGACCATCTATAGCTGTCACTGAAGCCCATAAAGGCCAAAGATATGCAGCCTAGAAAAGATGTGTGACCCTTATGTTCAGCACCCCAAATGCTGTCATTCTTGTCTCCTGCCTTTAATATTACTTCCTATGGAACTCCACTTCCTCTACATGCTTCCACACATTTCTTCACATCTTTTCTACTGTTGCAGGGAGGATTGGAGATTTCCACCCCCCATCATGAGTGACTGAAATGTATTTAAGCCAAGGAACAGTAATTTATATAAAGACTTATTTTCCATATTATCTACTCCCCCACCCTTCATGTTAGAAGTTGCTTAAGTGTATTCAGCAAAGAGGCCTTTCTTCAATCACCATAATTCCAGTCAATAAGTGAATATGATTGGTACAGTTACAGGCATTTTTTTTTTTTTGTGTGTGTCAGAAAAGTCAAAAACACCTGTAAGGAAATTAAATTACTAGGATGAAATGGCTGATAGCCTTCCTCAACAAAAAAAAAAATAGATAAAAGGAAAGAGCTACAGTTAAAAACTTAGCAAAAGAAACTTCCTATGCTTTAGATTGCCACTTTGATGAAAAGCAGAACTGCAATAACTAGCTGCTAACACAACACAAAATTAAAGCCCATTTTCCACAAAAATTGCAGTGCTCCAGCTGCCTACCATCTACATGAGTACAGGTGTTAAAGCATTTGATCAAAACAAATTTAGGGAGTTAAAATATGAAAGCTCTGTTTAAATGACTAGGCAGGAAAAATTTTAAAAGTAGTCTAATTTAACTTAATCTTATTTTAGTTAATCATTACTACAAAAGCAGTGGTAAATTCCTTTCCAAGCTCTTAAATTAATCTTCTCTGAACTGCAATGTTTAAGCCATCATTCTTTGTTGGCTGTGGTATGCGATCCCCTGCTGGCCTGTCAGAATCTGTGAACATTAGCTGAAATGCAAATATGCAGGTGTGTAAGAGATTCTCTTTCCGTTTTCAGAAGATGAGAACTGATACGATAGACAACAACAACACGAAATCTAGTGCCCCTCTCCTAGCAAACAGATACCCAAGGATGGTCACCAAAGATGGACACAGTACATTCCATATGGATGGAGCTCAAGGAAAAGGTCTGGCTTACTTGAGAGATGCCTGGGGAATACTAATGGACATGCGCTGGCGATGGATGATGCTGGTTTTTTCAGCTTCTTTTGTCCTCCACTGGTTAGTCTTTGCAGTGCTTTGGTACCTACTGGCAGAGATGAATGGGGACCTGGAACTGGACCATGATGCCCCACCTGACAACCACACCATTTGCGTTAAGTACATCACCAGCTTTACAGCTGCTTTCTCTTTCTCACTGGAAACGCAACTCACTATTGGCTATGGCACCATGTTCCCAAGTGGGGACTGTCCTAGTGCTATTGCCTTACTTGCCATACAGATGGTCCTGGGGCTCATGTTAGAGGCCTTCATCACAGGTAATATTCTACATTTAAACATTTTACATGGGACAGGTTCCATCAGCCATGTGTAAAATAGATTTTGTAAAATGCTTTGCTATACTGCGGTTACAGCTGCTTAAGAAAAAGGACAAGGGCCAGTTAAACACTGAAATTTTGTATTTAACAGCCTACAGACATTAAAATTTATGATTTAAGTCTTTTAAAGCAATAAGAGACCTACAAAAAGAGATATAAATAAAAGCATGTTATGGTTTGTACCAGAAAAAAAAAAATGCCGTTCACAACTAACATTTGTGGCAACTCTCCTCACCCTCTCCAATTTATTTTTGTCATTTTTTTTCCTTAACAATCTCTTTCCTCCTTTCATTAAGTTATGAGGTTTAAATCAATTTGTTTTGATACATTCATGAATTTTCCCTAATCTGTTTAAAACTAGATAGAGATTTCAACTGATACGAAGTTTTAAAATACTCTGGGAATAATTGTACTAGACTTTTTAAGCAACACATTTCATTTTGTAAGAAGTTAGCTTACAGCATAGTTAACAGCAATTTTATGAAATTTAACAGCACACAAAGATAAAACACTCTGGCCTATTCAAGAGTAGGTCACCAGCAACCACAAGAAATCTCTCCTGCAAATGCTGCCCTATTTTACAAATATTATTATTTTAAATGAGTTAATACACTGTGGGGGAAAGGTTCTGCTGAAGAAATCTGTGGCACCTGTCATCAGCAATGAGTTTATTTTGATTAAGAAAAGTGAAAATGGTGCTAGTGACTATTTATATGATGAGAAGTGTGCTAGGTTTAGACTAGAACAGATTATCTTTAGTGAAATTACGTCAATCTAATCAAATCTCTTCCTTTTCTCATGGGGCATTTGATCCAGCATGGGGATAGAGAGAACTAATGTGTCCATCGTATTCATAATTTAATCCATTCTTTCCCGTTACATAGGTGCTTTTGTGGCAAAGATCGCCCGTCCAAAGAATCGAGCATTCTCCATCCGTTTTACTCATTCCGCAGTAGTGGTGCACACAGAAGGCAAGCCATACCTTATGTTCCAGGTGGCTAATACGCGCCCCAGTCCACTCACCAGCGTTCGGGTCTCTGCTATTGTTTACCAAGAAACAGATAATGGTCAGCTGCACCAAACCAGTGTTGATTTCCATCTGGACAGTATCACATCTGAAGAATGTCCATTCTTCACCTTTCCACTGACCTACTATCATTCCATCACTCCATCGAGTCCTCTAGCTGGTCTCCTCCAGCGGGAAGCTCCTCACCATTTTGAGCTAGTGATCTTCCTCTCAGCCATGCAGGAAGGCACAGGAGAAACATGTCAAAGGAGGACATCCTATCTCCCCTCAGAGATCATCATGCACCACTGTTTTGCCTCCATGCTAGCACGAGGAACCAAAGGAGAATATCAGATCAAGATGGAGAATTTTGACAAGACTATTCCAGAGTTCCCACCTGCAGCAGACTCTAAGAACCCAAAAAGGACTGACCAGGAAATCCGCATCAATGGACAGCTTACTGAGAGCTTCCAGATCTGTGAGACTGGTCTAACAGAATAGACTATGGACTTGGCAAAACATTTTTTTTTAATTCCATTAAACTTCCAGGTTCCATTTCCAGCCTTCCTTCCTTCAATTCCATCCTGCCATTTTCTCTTGTGCTCTTCTCTTTCCTTTTTCTCCATCTGTTTTGACTCCAGCATGGTGTGTAGAGTTGAGCATAATGTGCCCATATAAACTGAGAAGAGGCTGGATTAATTGCACAGAACAGAAAGTCAGGGACCAAGTACATGTTCTGGGAAAATGGAAGTGCTACCTGCTGAATTCACTAGACTATGAGTAAAACTGCACTGACCCTGAAACAAGAGACTTTCAGACTCTCACAGCTGACCAAAAAACCTAATTAACTGGTATGCAGCAAAGCAGACAGCAACAATACAAGACAAGACTGCACTGAAAATCCTACTGAGGTTATTCAGTTAAAACACACTAGCTCTGGGATCAGCAGTGAAGTAGTTCCAAGATTCTTATATCCCTTTTAATGCTAACCCTCTGGGTACAGTGTTATATAAGTTTTCAAATGGCTGAACATCCTATTAAAAACTCATCGCCAGTTTTTACTGTGGCAGTGAAATGCATTCATGCTATGCTCATTTATTGTGTGAAAACATAAGAACTGACTGCATTTTATCGGCTAAAGGGCTTATTATTGCTAGGCAGGCTTGTGAAGACAGTGAGTGTCAAAAATCCTGGAGTATATGAAAAAGCATGCTGCAGTAGGGATATTTTCAGACTTGGAAACATTTAATAAATTATTTTAGCAGTAGAAAATATATTATACATCACTTTGTGTATTTTCATGTTTCTTGGCAAGGACCACGTTGCCTCATGTGGTCTCAGCTTTGCACATTACATCAAGTAGCTCTGGCACCATACGGCTGCATTATGTCCATCAACAGAGGAAAAATGGCATTTATGCAGAGTTTATCCTTTTTAATATAAATATCTGTGTACACACACAGCATATAGATAGCATCATATCTACAGAATCAGATAGCCGAATCAATTTTTAAAATTTTAAAAATTGGGACCAAAATGCTTTATGCATGAGACTTTTTGCCAGGATTGCCTCATAAGCATACCATAAACGAAGAATTATTCTCCAACATGCAAAAAGAATTCTCATGCGATTAAAAGGACCATCAGTTAAGTTGACTGTGTTCTGCATATTTACAACTTTGCAACCACAGAAATCAGCTTTAAAATGGCTATTTTGTTTTGAGACCTAAAGAGTCAATGGAATACCATCAAAATAAAAGCTGCCATTCAAACTGGCATAAGAGAAGAAGTGCCTCATTTGTTGACCTCCCATATACAAATGGTCCTGTCCTTAGCTCCTGAACAGCTCAGGAAAAAAAGAAGAAGTATTTATAAACTGGAGTTGAAAAGTTTTATTATAAGAGATCAACAGCAGGATAAACGGCCTGAAGATATAAAACGAGCACATTACTGTTTAGGGAAGATTTTTTTCCCTGAGCCAAAAAACATGGGGGTTGTCAAATCTGTAGTCAAAGAAAATGTGTTGGAGAAGCTGTTCTGTCAGATGAGCCTTGCTTCATTTTATTTCCAGAAGCTAATTTCTATGAACGAGACAGCTAAATGCATCTTTCAATATCACTTTTCTGCTGTAATTGCTATAAAAATGTGTTAGGTCACAAGTGGAATGGAGGTCTATACAATCCTACACTATAAGACTTAAATTCTCTGGTCTTATCTAGAGAATGAGTATTTTAAAAATTCTGTCTTTGAGAATTTAATCTTTTTACTCCTAATGTAATCATATTTTAACCCACTGTAGAGCCTGTATAGCAACAAACCATCTAGGAAAACTATACATTATATTGCCTGTGTCTTTACTTTCCATTGTTGGTCCTTCATATGTATTAGAGTTCATTCCCACCCTCATGGCACAGCTAGCCAACCCAGAAGGTGTACAATGTAGTTTTATTTTTTGCTGTACTTTTTTCTATTTCTGTGGCCTACCCCAACAACCTCCAATACAGAAGGAAAACCTTAAAGCTGCAGAAGAGCAAGAAATTACTGTAAAATACTTCATTAACGTAGAAGAATTAGGTCAGATGTATGGGGGAGGCTGCCCTATGTGAAGCAGCTATGCACCATTCTAGGCCACATAATGTTTCAGGCAAATGGATTATTCAGCAATTTGAGAGTGCAGTGATATAGCTCTGCATACATTACGGACAGCAATAGCATTTTGCCTTTCAGAGATGTGGTTATAAAAAGGTAATATAGACATTACTAGAGTGAGAATAGTTCTAACAGGACATATTTAAGTCTTTGGCCTTTTAGGACTGTCCTGATTTGAAAACACTGGTTTAATCCTATTCTTGGAGTAAAGGACACAAACTTAAGGAAGCAAGTTTAAAAGGAGAAAAGAAATGTTGCCACTGTGTACAATTAAGCTTGTGAAATCTACAACTGCATACTGTTAAAGAAGAGCATAAGAATAAAAATTGTATCTGTAATTACTTTAGCTACAGATACATTTTTTGTATTCATGTAACTACAGTAGCAATCCCTCCTGAAATTACAGGATATAAAAATTGTCAGCTAGGGCCAGGAAAACTATCCCTATCACTAGCGCACTGTGAAGATGTTAGGTCTTACTGAAAAATTTGGTGTACTCCATTGCTAGAAACATCATGCTGGTCCACGTCTCAGTTCCAACAGGTACAACTCATACCCCTAGCTTTACTGACACTTTAGTCTATGTGGGAGCCAAGCAGTGATGAACTGGCTTTGAACACATTTTCTAACAGTGAGCAGGAAAAAAAAGAGGCAGGTAGAGTAGGTAGGAATGTTCTAACAGTGAGCAGGAAAAAAAAGAGGCAGGGAGAGTAGGGAGAAATGAAAGTTATATCTCAAGTTATTCTTTTCAATAAGGTTTTTCTTACATGATTGCTTGTTATAAATGTACACACACACCAGACTTCCTGAATGTGCTGTTAGTCAAAATATTTGTCGAAAATGCATCTGTTTAGCACTACACCTACGTGGCAACTGAAGGATTTAAGTTTGGATGCTCTGAAGGAACTGTAGTGGCTTCTGCCTTTTGTGCAATTCTACTTGGTATCATCAAATATGTGACTTGCTCACTGCTGTAGCAAATGGCCTTAACTTCTATGAAGCAACTTTGAACCTTTGTGGCTGAAACCCTTAGGACCTATGGCAATTTCCATAAAAATTCCTGATACACCTCATGCACTATGGCCAAGAATATCAAAATCAAGAATGACGGGTGCTGATCAGTTTGTGAATCATTCTCAGTCATCTGGAAAACTAGCAAAAAGTTTTGGATATCATTTCAAAATAAATGTGTCCAAATGTTCATTTGTCTTTGAAGAAATTATTAATGCATCAATTATAAAAATATTTAAAATTAATTCTCTTTATGTGGGATTTGTATGTTTTTGCTCTTTTTTTTTAATTTCAGGATTAAGAAAATATACTAAAACATTTTCCATGGGTTGCTATAATTTCTAAATTTCCCCCAAATTACAGTTACTCCATGCTGTTTACGTTTCTACTTAGCCATGGTCCTCTGCACAACCACAATATTACGGGATACAAACAGCTAATGATACAAAAGTGAATACCTTGTCTGAAGCCACTTGAAAGCCTTACTGAAGAATGCATAATGGTTGGGTTATAGGGGAAAGAAATTTCTAATGAGATGATACTGTTAGAACGTAACACTCTCTACCAACAGTTTTAATATAGATAATGGGAACAAGGCAACACATACATCTGTCAACATGCCTCAACCTAGAAGCAGAGAAAGCACTTCCTTTTTGGGGTGAGACGTTTGTTCTCCATGCTAGTTTGGTCCTTGACATCTCTACTAAGACCACAGTGGTGTTACTTATATTCATTTTTTGTTATCTCAACATGCCCATTTGAAATTTGAATTAGGACCCTCTTCACCTTGCAAGTCACTTTAGGCAGTTTAGAGAAGAACTATGACTTAATAATAGTTTTTGGTTTACTGACCAAACATGAAATCAAACTAGACCTACAGCATGTGTGCCAGATGTGGCACAGGCAGCTTGTGTGTGGGGCAGATGGGGCATGAAGCAGAATGCAGAGGAGTGGATCGTACAGGGGAAAGGGATCACAGTAGCATTTGGGGCAGGTGCAGGAGCTAATGTGGTAGACTTGCCAAAAAGGCTGGCCCTCACTGCATTATTGTTTTGATATCCAGCCCCTTTCAGTATGGAAATGAAAGGAAGAATATCACAATCCCCCTTCTACCTGGTAAAAAAAAAAAATCCTCAAAGGATCGATAGCCAAATCCACATGAACATAGTTAAACCTCTGAGATTTTTTATTAAAAAGTTTAGAAAACTTGAAATTGGGCATTTATCTGTATCACCTCAAGCTGCAACTGTTGCCTTCCCAGTCTGATCTTGTTTAGTGTGTGAAATCTCACAGAGCAGGAGACTTTCTGCATAAAATGATGTTAATGATTTTGCAGTTACCATTCCTCCCTTTATACAAAATCAAAGACTCAGCAAGGCATTAGAGGGGCACTGTCTTTCAGATGAGATAAAGCCAAGGTCTTGCCCACCTGTGGTTAAAGATACCAAAACATGTTTTGCAGAAGTTGGAGCAGACTCTCTGGCATCATGGCAATATTTCAGCTAGGGTAATTACAATCTGCATACTTAAACTGCTCCTGCCATTTTAATTAGAAGAGATGCATTTCTTATCCTTAAATTACAGGTTGTGCTGCTATGAACTGCTAAAGCCATTGCTGCAATTTCCCTTATGAACAAAATGAATTCCTTGTACAGATATGGTAAAATTGTGTTTTCACATATTTCAGGATTAAAAGGTGCTAAATAAATTTAATGGCATTGAGTTGATTCATTTTTGTAGCCACTACTAAATCTAGTTTGTTCCATCTCTATGTTTACCCTTTACAAGGTTCTCCATTCCTGTAGTATCCTTATAGGGATTAGTTGGGGGGGTTTTAAAAGGTAACAGCATCTTTTACCACCCATCTGCAAATGTGCATGCAGGGAGTTGAGCAAATAGATGGCGTCCAGACGAGCATGGCTG